TCAGGGCAGGGAAAGGTGTAAAGTGTTTGTTCGTAGCCTATATATCCTCATCCAAGGTGAGAAAGGCAATGATGATGATGCTATTCCACTATAACCTTTTAGTTACCAGCCCGACAGTCTAAAAAACCACTGGTCCACCCACACCCCTAGGTGGTTGGCGGGTGCTCTGGAGTGGTTTGCTTCTATTTTCCTATCAAACATCTGTCGTCCTCATCTCCCCTCCTTCTTTTTTGTGTATGTTACTCTCTTGTAACACGTAATCTATTCTTCGGCACTTATATGAACTTATTGTGTTGCAAGTGCCGTAAAACTCTTACTAAAACTAAACTAAACCACACTACACCACCACCCCCTCTTCTCCCCAGAACTCACTCAGACTCCCGACAACAGCCGTCAACGGCGTACTGACAACATCCTCCAGAACAGACGGAGTAGTCTTTCTTCAGGCTCCCCGCTGTCTCTGACCCGACCAGGTCTCCGTGGTCCGGAATGACGTCACCCTCGCCCTCGCTGACGTGAGAGTTCAGGGGGCGGGGACACACTGTGGCTAGGGCTGCATGCGGTGGGAGAGAGAAAACAAAAAACGTGAAAAAAGGTTGATATTTGGCTACCTTAGAAGTATTAAGTTCTATCTGACTTTTTTGGGGCCGTTTTGAGTTAGAAAGACCAGGAAGTCCAAAACCAAATGTTCTATCTGCTCTAGCTAAATTGTAAGATTGTTCGGAATCGTAATCAAGATATGAAAAGAATTGTATTCGGAAAAGCTTGACAAGCTGTGAGACTCAATTTTTTGGCGCCAAAATTTTTCTAAACTAAGAACTGAGCAGATAGAACTTTGTAATTCTGGGATAGCGATTTTTCAGTGGATTGAGAGAGTCAAGGGTACCCTGACAATTTATAACATCCCAATTGAAAAAGCTGCAGAGCTGGTCTATTATAGAAAACTGCAGGATCTTCCCTCGACCCCTAACGGCAACAGAGGAGGTAGAAGTAAAAAAAGTAAACGTAAGTAATTTATCTGATTTTGCAGAATTCATGTCATGACTGCTGATGCTCGGATTTTACTTTAGGTTTGACGTATACTGCTCAGTTTCAGTAAGACAAGTGTACAATCGTTTTGTTTTCTTATTCAATTGGGCAATCAGGAGGTGGGGGCAGGAAGTGGAGGCGAAAGCAGACGACAGAACATTGCTAAAGAGCAGGAAAGGACGTGAAAGGAGACCATTTTAGAGATGAAAATCGCTACCCGGATTCGAACGCGGGATCTTTGAATGAGAGGCATACACCTTAACATCTAGGCCACAAGAGTCCCCGAAGTTTGTATGATTTACTCGCCCCAATGCTGATATATGTAAGAACACCACTAAAAAAACACAACAAAACACACACATACACACACACACAGCGCGTGAAGCCAACGTTAACGTTGACACGTATTTGTCAGAATAAAGAGAAGGATATTTACGCAGTGGAAGTGTAGAAAAGGGCATCAGTGTTTGGGTTATAGAGAACCATCCCAGAATAGTAACATTAATCTATCCGAGACGATAGCCCAAGACCAACAATCTCAAACAAGACAGGCTGCTAGGAAAGACAATTCCTATAACTTGTCTCGGAAGTTTTTCTTACTAACGATATTGGTACTTGGTATCTATAACTTTACAATAGATCTACGAAATAGTGAGGGCATAAGTTGTATGAATAGGAAGGAAGGAAAAACAAAGCCCATCAACTAAGCACTCAAATCAAGTCAACTTGTAACATGTAAAGCGCTCCAAGCAAGTTATCGCTTTTTAATTTGTCAACGGCATCCAACCCAGGCTCCCCACAAATCATTTTAAAAAAGAGTCCTCGTGTGATAACGATTAAGTCAGCTGATATCTCGATATCAATCCGTTTTTACCGTCCTCTTTTCTGTCTGTCAGTCTGTCTGCTTATTCGTCTGTCTTTCTGTATATATGTCTGTTAGCCTGCATGTCATTTTGTCGTACTCTCTGTCTGCCTTTATGTCTTCCTATATGTCAGTGTGCTGCGAGTTTGCCCGTCTTTCTGCGTACACCTCAGTGTTTTTGTGTATTGACTTGTCCGTCTGTGCGTCCCTTTACCAGGGTATCTGCTAGGCTGTATAATAATTATATGTCATACGGTTTATCAATCTTATCTAGTCTCAATATCTTTGGCTTTCTTTTCTTTTTTTTTTTTAGCCCGCATATCTATTTATCAATCAATCAATCAATCAATCAATCAATCTATCTATCTATCTATCTATCTATCTATCTATCTATCTATCTATCTATCTATCTTTCGCCTCTCTCTCCCTCTCCGCCTTCTCTCCCTCTTTCTATCTCTCTGTCTTTTCTCTCTTTCCTTTCTTTCCCTGTTTTTCTTCTCAGCCACCCCTCCTACTGCTCCTTTTTCTCTCCAACTTCGGTTTTCTCCCTTTCTGTATCTGGCCCTATCCTCCCCCTTCTCTCTCTCTTTCTCTCTCTCTCTCTCTCTC